ACTCTTATGCCTTTAGTGAGCTTTATAGTTTCAGTTTTGCTTTGTCGTTATCCACCCCCCCCCACCCCCGAATGGCCTGTACTACCACCCCTTTTGTAATTTTAAATTTTGGTTTGAAGTACCTGGGCACCGCTCAATGATAAGGTTCCTTGCAAGCATGAGGCTATGAGTTCGATCCCTGGCACCATCCCACAGACCAGTGTGATCCCAGACCCAAAAGCACGGCAGGTGTTCATCAGCACCACAGCTGATCTCCAGTATGTACCAGCAATGCCACTAAAATGTGCAAGCCCCTGTGAATACCACAACAAAAACGTTTTGGCAGCAAGAGCCAAGTGAGTGACTCCCACCAACAACCGCCAACTCAACTGCGTTGAGCAACAAAACAAACTGAGCAACCCCCAGCAAGTACCATGATCAAGTGTGTGCAAACCGCAACCATCACAACAACAGGAAGGGAAGGGGAGGAGGGGAATGAGAACCACAGCTTGTCAGGCTATTAAAAGACGCAGGAAAAAACCTCTAAGCACTTAGTTTGAATCAACTCACCTGATTTTGCTCTGACATTTGATCAATCTGCCTACCTCTAGGAGAGCATCTGTTTTCACTGAGGCTGTAACACTGCCTACAGAAAAGGCTGCACTTCGAAGGCCGGATTCCCTTGGGTACCCTACTCTCAAGGCACCTTCCTCACCTCCTGTTCATTAACCATGGAGACAGCAACAGTTTGGGAGACACATTAATGTTTACTGAGGACTACGAGTACACTGGTTATAATGGTGCTCAGGAGGAAATATAAGAAGCTATTTATATACTATTTATATATGCCACACAATGCTTCGGCATGCAGTGAGCATCAGAAGTGTGAAAATCTACAAAGAACAGAGAAACGGATTCCTTCCTGAATATGGTATGAACATAGGGATGAAAGCAGTTACGATACAGAAATGTGGTATCAGCTAGACAAACTGGGAGATTATGATTCACAACTTTCAAACCCCCCAATATGTTAAAAAGAAACAATATTCAGCCAGGAGAGTGAAAAATTACAAATAAAAATGTAACAATTTAGGCCAAAACTTCTCTTCTAGCTTGGGTATTCCCAGACTCACTATTACGACGAGTTTATTGGTCATCCTACTTGAGATGACAGTCTTGCACCCTGAGAGGGAAACACAGCAGTTAACCCTGCAGGTGGAGGAAGACTGCTAGTGTGGCAAAGACGTGCTCAGGTATGTCAACTTTAAAAATTGTAATATGCCCTAATCTGTTCTTGAGAAAAATACCTTCAGTGTACACGTGGAATTGGAATGACTCCTATGTGTACACATTAGCATCTCAGAGTACATAGCATGCTTTAGAATAAGTACGTTGCGAAAGAAAGATGGCGGCCGCACGGGAGCCTTGTGGAAAGCGGGTTTGAGCCGGGCTCGGGGGAGCGGCAGGGACCTCATGGGAAGGGGGGCTTTGTGGGCCGTCCCCCACGCCCCACCGGGGTCGCCAGCTGCCCCCCACGAGCGGCTCTCCGGCACGGCCACGGCCCCGGAGGCACAAGGACTTAGCACAGAGAACCAGCCGCTTGGAGCAGAAAAGCAAATGGACTTGTGTTGATCCGCGCCACCAAGCCTGCCCGGAGGGGGAAGGGCGTTGACCGGCCCGCCCGCTCCTCTCTGGAAAGAAAGATGGCGGCCGCACGGGAGCCTTGTGGAAAGCGGGTTTGAGCCGGGCTCGGGGGAGCGGCAGGGACCTCATGGGAAGGGGGGCTTTGTGGGCCGTCCCCCACGCCCCACCGGGGTCGCCAGCTGCCCCCCACGAGCGGCTCTCCGGCACGGCCACGGCCCCGGAGGCACAAGGACTTAGCACAGAGAACCAGCCGCTTGGAGCAGAAAAGCAAATGGACTTGTGTTGATCCGCGCCACCAAGCCTGCCCGGAGGGGGAAGGGCGTTGACCGGCCCGCCCGCTCCTCTCTGGAAAGAAAGATGGCGGCCGCACGGGAGCCTTGTGGAAAGCGGGTCTGAGCCGGGCTCGGGGGAGCGGCAGGGACCTCATGGGAAGGGGGGCTTTGTGGGCCGTCCCCCACGCCCCACCGGGGTCGCCAGCTGCCCCCCACGAGCGGCTCTCCGGCACGGCCACGGCCCCGGAGGCACAAGGACTTAGCACAGAGAACCAGCCGCTTGGAGCAGAAAAGCAAATGGACTTGTGTTGATCCGCGCCACCAAGCCTGCCCGGAGGGGGAAGGGCGTTGACCGGCCCGCCCGCTCCTCTCTGGAAAGAAAGATGGCGGCCGCACGGGAGCCTTGTGGAAAGCGGGTCTGAGCCGGGCTCGGGGGAGCGGCAGGGACCTCATGGGAAGGGGGGCTTTGTGGGCCGTCCCCCACGCCCCACCGGGGTCGCCAGCTGCCCCCCACGAGCGGCTCTCCGGCACGGCCACGGCCCCGGAGGCACAAGGACTTAGCACAGAGAACCAGCCGCTTGGAGCAGAAAAGCAAATGGACTTGTGTTGATCCGCGCCACCAAGCCTGCCCGGAGGGGGAAGGGCGTTGACCGGCCCGCCCGCTCCTCTCTGGAAAGAAAGATGGCGGCCGCACGGGAGCCTTGTGGAAAGCGGGTTTGAGCCGGGCTCGGGGGAGCGGCGGGGACCTCATGGGAAGGGGGGCTTTGTGGGCCGTCCCCCACGCCCCACCGAGGTCGCCAGCTGCCCCCCACGAGCGGCTCTCCGGCACGGCCACGGCTCCAGGGCACAGAAATCAATCTCTTAACTAGCTAACTTTTAATAGAAATTCTTCCAGGGTCAATAAGTAAAATAGCAGAAATTCAAAACCGCGCGGCCGCTATCGCGGCCGCGCGACATCATTTTATTCTTAAACCAAGTTGTAGAAAGCAAATCATTTCACAACGCTGTTTCAGCATGTCTGATTGGGGGGGGGGGGGGTCGTAAACTCTAAACAATAATTGTGCATCTTCTATCGAAATAGTCTATCTAGTCAAAGTAGATAGAGTATTAACTAGAACTCATCTGCCTCACAAGAATTGGGAGGGGTGGGAGGTGGGGGTCTATTGGGGTTCGGGGTTGGAAGTGAGTATTGGTAAAGGGAAATGTGTTCGGTATCTACATGACTGAGACCTAAACCCGAAAGCTCTGTAACTTTTCCCACAGTGATTCAATAAATAAATAAATTATAAAAAAAAAAAAAAAAAAAAAGAATAAGTACGTTGCATCAAAGAACAAGGCGCTGGAGAGAGTATAGCAGGCAGAGATCTTACTTTGAACCCTTCAACCCTGGTTCTATCCTCAGCACCTTATATAGTCTCCCAGCCCTGCTAGGAATGACCCTGCGCACAAAGTCAAGAAGCCAGGAGTATGCCCTGATCACTATTGATGTGTGGTACAACAGAAAGAGAAAGAAAGAGAGAGAGAGACGGACAGACAGACAGAGAAAAAGAGACAGAGAGAGAAAGAAAGAAGCAGTAGCAGACAGAAAATATTTTTTTAAAAGGATAGCTGTAGTTTGAATTGTATCAATAACAATTATGGGAAAGTTCTGTGTTGCTTCTGCTTCACATTCTAACAGCAAAAGTAAGAAAAATTACCAAACTACTCTGTTTCTTTAAGCTGCAAGAGTATTGGTGGGCATTGATGATTCTCCTTCACTGGAAATCTCATCGACTGTAATAGAGAACTCACTGAATACTCATAACTATTATGCCCAAATGATTTTCACAGCAGGCAATCTGCTTGCCCACCACCGCAGGCCCACCTTTGAAAATAAAATGCTAATGTGGATGGTTTTATGGATGACCCTTTTGAATTTGGAGTGTTGCCTAGTTTCGTTAACTCTTGGTTGAATTGAGTGGGTGATTGAAAAAGTGTGAATGAGAAAAGAAAGAAAGCACATGAGTTTTAGTTTCGTCTTCATCAATAATACATTTGTGCCTGGACAATTACTGGAATGATGACATTATGTCATGCTTTAAGAGCAAGCCTCATGCCCCCAGAGATCTTGGTATTTAAATTTAGATTTTTTTTTTCCAAATGTATGTGCCCCAAGCATGAAACATCTCTGGCCACCAACCCAGGCATCAAGCTAGGATGAACAATGGACCATCTGCTTTGCCCCATCTGATACAAGAGCAGCACCACCAACAAGTGTCTCTCTCCTCTGCCAGGGGTTTAAATTTAGATTTTGCAATCTAAAATCAATCAATCTATCTATCTATCTATCTATCTATCTATCTATCTATCTATCTATCATGGACAAGCCAGCTGCATTAGGGGGCAAAAATCAGTAAATCTCAGTAAATCCTGGCATGCTTTTTCTACACATGTGGTATAATCACATGATATGGGAGACAGAGAATCATTCCCTCCCATCCCCTTATTCAAATGAATCTAATATGAAATCTGTTTAGAAAGGAAATTCTGTAGAAGATAGTCTATGTGCTTAATTTTCTTAAACATCACAGTAGCATCTAATAAGATCTTAATTCCTTGAGGGTAGGAACCATGGCTAATCGTAAATGAGTCTAATTTAGCGAGACCATTTACTTCCCATCTTGGTAGGAATAACCAATAGAATATAAATAGCCTTTCATGATGTATTTGTATAAGCTGATTACTGAAGGAAATAGAGGGATTTGGGAATCAGACTAACCAATGTGTCTGTACATGCTCAATAAAAATGGTCTCCATAGTTACAGAAATTGATAGCACCAGTATAATCTAATGAAGGGGGAGTTTTAGAAGCAAGATGTCATTTAAGGACAGAGTGATCATCTGTGAATGTAGTTTGAAGAATGAGCCTATAAAACAGAATACTAAGATACTGCAGTTCATGAACACACTCCCCAGAGAACCAGAGTTTGGAATACATCATCATAACCAGCAGAACCTGTGTCAAATCTAGAAAATACTGAGGCACATTTGAAACAACAGCATTTTTTTTTTTGGTGGAAAATCTCTTGCAGTATCACAAATTTAAGAGAACAGAATAGTACTCACAAAATCTGGAATTCGAAAATCAGGCTGATTTTCTAGTGCTCCAAAACTGGACACAGTTGTCTTTTCAATGTTTTCCAACTCTGAAAAAATAAAATAATAGATCATTGAAGCACAGATCTTAATGGAATCTATGCTTTTCTGCTCTGAGATCAGAAACACTACCTTACCAATTCCATTTAACATTTCTGGAACACTTACAGATTTGTATTATTAAATACTTTCATTATCATTATCTGACATCTGCAGCAGCTTTTTCATCTACTGCACCATGGCTGACAATATTCATCAAATGTTCTAAGTTGAACCTACTGTAGATAACCATTTAGCTTTTACACGGAAGGACATAACTAGTTCCCAAACACTCTAGCTCAGGAATGTTAGCCTACTGATGTGTGCTCTTTTCTTCCATTGCATCTCAGGAAAGTGATTCAAGGGTACCTTTAAACTTGGCTGAGTACGTCCCACACCCAATGCCATGTAAGCTCATTTATCGGCCCACTTTTCCAGACTCATGATTAAATCTTGGAAGAGATCAACTAGCTGCAAAAATTCATGAATACACTGGTCTCCCAGCTGAAAACTCTGGAGCACCCTTGGGAGGCAGAGGGACCAAGTCTGCCCTGCAGAAGCCCCGACAACTGCATTCTCACCCCAAAAGCTGCCGCCATGCCAACAGCCTCATCACTGAGCTTTGTAGAGACACCAAACTGCCGAAAATATCAGGTACACCCTGGGGTCTCCTTGGAGTGGGGGTTGGCAGCCTTCCCCCACACTCCCATACTTCTTCAAGCCCCTGTTTCCACACCCACATTCCACACTCCCTGCTCTGTAAGCTCACTGCCTATTTAAATATCCCGGAGTTCCTGGAGTGTGCAGTCATGGCCAAACTCTACAATATGGACATTCCAGTAGGAGCACACCAAATTAGATGGAAAAGTAACACAGAAGCAAACGAAGCTCAGTAAACAAAAACATTAACACAGAAGGCTCAACTAGCAACAAGAACTTAGTCAACCCTCAGACAAGGACTTAATGTGTCCTCATGGTGAGATAAAAGATTTTCACAATTTTTCTTTTACTGAAATATTCTGCATTAACCACTTAATTGTAACACACAATATAAAATAATTATTTTGGACCTGCTAAGGGGGCTTTGGGGGGGTGGATAATGAGGACAATGGTGGAGGGAAGGTCACACTCATTGTGAGACTGGTGTTGGAACATTGAATACCTGTAACAAACGCATCATGAACAACTTTGGAAAACAAATGTAGTTAAATAAAAGGGGAAAATAATAAAAATAAAATCTGCTGAGTAACACTACTCAATAAAAATGTAATGGAGCCAAATTTTCTAGTATAAACATCAAGAAAATTTGGGGGAAAAAAACAGGTAAAATTAATAAAAATTTCACTTACTCTTATACAGCCATATTACTTGTAATCAATATAAAATATTACTAGTAGTTTTCATGTTTTGTAATGTCTTAGAAACTAAAGTGTGTGTTACTACACTCAGAACTTTTCAACTTGAACTAGCCACATTTCAAACATACAATAGTCACATATACTTAGTGGCTCATGAGCTCTGTGGATAGAGTTGGGTAGGTCAAATCCAGAGACGGATCAGTCTTGACAACAGACTCCTGACATAAAGTCAAAGAGACTGTCCAGTGTAAAATGTACTGAGAGAACAAACAAACATTTACAGCATAAGTTCTAGATTGGATCCTGATAAAAAGGCTGATAAAAACTGGAACCAGATACAAAGGAGTACTTAAAATGGTGTAAGATTTGTACATTGATTAAGGTGAGATTTAGTTAAGAAATTTTTCAAGAACCCAACAGTGTAATTTTATATGTGAGAAAAGCATTTTTGAATAAACTCAATATTCTGAAATAAACTACAAAATTACTGAATGCTTCAATAAATTCAAATATTTTTTATTGAGCAACCAGCTCAAATTCAACAAATCAGTGTCATGAAAAAGGCATATTGGTTTTAGCACTGTAGCACTGTCCTCCCGTTGTTCACTGATTTGCTCAAGCGGGCACCAGTAATGTCTCCGTTGTGAGACTTGTTGTTACTGTTTTTGGCATATCAAATATGCCACAGGGAGCTTGCCAGGCTCTGCCGTGTGGGCGGGATACTCTTGGTAGCTTGCTGGGCTCTCCGAGAGGGATGGAGGAATAGAACCCGGGTCAGCTGCGTGCAAGGCAAACACCCTATCCGCTGTGCTATCACTCCAGCCCATATTGGTTTCAAATAAAAAATTAAAGCCTAAGGGACACATCTCCATGTGTTATTTTTTTTAATCATCAAAAAGCAATGAACTCAGTTATGGTACCAAAGTATTCATATAGTACCCACCATATCACCCCCATTTTAGAGAAAATAAACAATATGTTTAAGTTGTCATATAGCTATAAATCAGAGGCTTGCAAGACACTATCCTATGTTCAATAAACAGAACCCCAAAACACACTTACTTACATTTACAGATTTATTATAAAGAATATTTTAAATCAGATAGTTGAGGGCCAGATAGCTAGCACAGGGGAACTAAGGCACTTCCTTGCACGCAGCTGACCCAGTTTGGTCCCCAAAACCCCATATCATCCCCTGAGAACCAACAAAATGATCCCTGATCACAGGAAAATCCCCAGGATCCATGGTGGTGGAAAATGGGCACAGGTGGAGGGATGGATATTTGATCATTGTATAATCGAAACCCAAGCACAAAAATTTGTAAGTCTACAACTGTACCTCATGGTGTTTCACTAATAAAAATTAATTAAAATAAATAAATAAATAAATAAATAAAGGAAAGAAAGAATAGAGATGAAGAGACAGATAAAGACCCGGGTCTGGGTAGCAGGTCTCAGTGTTCTCGCCAGTCTTCCTGTACCTTCGGAGTTCCCAGACCGGGAAGTTCTCCAGTAAGAAACATGCCAATATCGAGATTAGATTTGAGGCTCACCCAGTATGTGAAAAAGAAACACTTTTATTTGTCTAATGATTCAATAGCTCCTGTCATTGTGTGCTTGTGAACTGAAAGGAAATGCTGGTAGAGATAAGAGCACAAACAAATGATCCTAACTCTTTCCCGAGACTGGTCATTACAGGACTCCTATTTATAAACTAACCCTGAAACTAGAAATACATGAGGTGAGCCAGGCCTGTAGAAGCCACAATCAAGGTGAGAACTTCCTGAAGGTAACAGAGACAATGGCAGTCAGTCACAGTTAAAAGGGTTTTAAAGTGACTAGCCAGCTATTCCAACATGAGAATGACAACTGTCTGGCATAAACACATCCTTTAAGACCACCTTTAACATATGCTATTTATGTGATCAGCTATGAGGATGTGTTTTAAATTGGTGTTTCACAGCTTGGTTTACACTATGAAGAACAGACCTCATCTTTTTATAACACTGAAGAAACGACATCTGTGGTATTCATGATACATAGCTTTGGGGCAGAACCAGCAATTGCATCACAAAACATGATATGTAGCCACTTTTAAATGAGTATTTATATATAATGGAGGAACCTTCACCTCTCCGAATTCCTTTATACTTGGATGTTTAACTTATGAATTTGCGGGTGAATGGATAGGATATGGTTGTTTGTGTTCATTTCTAATTTTAATGAGAGCGGAGGTGAGAGAATTTACCATAAGACTGAGAATAATCAAGGAATATTACTCAGGGGCTGGAGAGACTGGACAACTGGTAGCACACTTCTCTTGCATGCACTCACTTGGGTTTGATCTCCAGAATCCCAAGATATGGTTCTCCCCAAGAACCAACAGGAGTAATTCCTGAGCAGAGAGGCCGTAATAACCCCTGAGTATCACCTGGTGTGACCTCCAGACCAAAATAAATAAATAAACAGAAATATTACTCAGACATTCTATCAAATTAAAGACATAAATGCAGCTTTAAAGGGTTTGCGAGAAAAATCTAAAACTACTGTTTCAGTTATTTTGCTGAAAATAGACACTGTATATTTACTGATTAACAGAAACTAAAAGAAACTGTAAATATGATAGGGGCAAAATGCCCCTCCTCCAAAATGAGGGGTCATAGAGATAGTACAGCACAGCAGATAAGGCTCTTGTCTTGCACACAGCCAACCCAGGTTTAATTAAAGGTCCCATAGTCCCTTGGCAGCACATATGGTCCCCTGACACAGCCTGGAGTCATTACTGAGCCCTGAGCACCACCAGGTGTGATTCCAAATCAAAAACAAAACAAAACATAAATATCTGATTAAATTACCATTTATGTACTATAAACTTCAATTGTTGTTCTTGTGACTTTAATATTGAGAAGTGAACCATTCATGATGCGAATATTATCAGTAAACTTTCATTACAGAGAGATTCCAGTTGCTATTTAAAATTCTCATTTCTGATCACCTAACATGGCATTAAAAAAAAAAGTCAAAACCAAGGTGACACTTTGAGGCTCTTCAAATAAAGATGGAATTAGAGGGATTAAAAAAAAATATGCCAGACACAGTAACAACAAAGTCTCCAATGGAGACGTAACTGGGCCCGCTCGAGCAAAAAAAAAATAAGAACGTAGATCTTCATATAAATTGGGGGCTGGAAAGATAGTACAGTGGGTAGGGGTGCTTGCCTTGTACACAGCCAATCAAAGTTTGATCTCTGCACCCTGTATGGTTCCCTTAATGTGCCAAAAGTGATCTCTAAGCACAGAGCCAGGAGTAAGCCCTGAGTACTCTGGGTATGCCCCCTGCAAGTAAAATTTTTAAATTAAAAAAAGGGTGTTTTTCAGAGATAACAGTACAGTGCTTGCCTTGGATGCAGCCGATCTTAAGTTTAATCCCCATCACTAACTCGATTCCCCAACAATCACCAGAATTGATCCCAAAGCACAGAGCTAGACGTAATCCCTGAACACATCTGGGTGTGGCCAAAATACAAAAATATAAAATATGAAAAGAAATGTACTTTGGTTTTCAAACTATGCCCAAGTTTATATAACTCCTTTGGAATCATTTAATTTCAGCACTTGGAATACAATAATTACTTAGAGGTTTCTATGTTTGTT